CCAAAGAAGCGTAAGACTGTTTCAAGAAAACACATTGTTAATCGATGAACGACAGGAAAAAATACATTTAGCCAGTTTTTTTTTTTTTTTTTTTTTTTTTCGCTATAACGAATCTACAGTCGTTCAAAGTCAAGGTTTGAGATTTGCTAATCAACTGAGTTAGGCCTCGGCCCAATGCCGCTCGATATACCTTGGCTCGGTTTCAGAAATTACGGTCATATTTCTTTGATTCGTTTCCTAATTAATTAGCTGCAGTTCCAGGAGAGTTCGTGGTTTTCTGAAGTTGACGGTTGACCTTTCCTATCGCCTGCGAGTCGGCAGCAGGAGCTAGTGACAAAACACTTCTTCGAGGTCCCGGCTCTTCTTCGAAGCTGCAACAGAGCGCTTGTTCAAACGAGGCTGAGTCGGGTTCAGTGCTAGCCATCCTTGAGAATCTGCCACGTCGTGTTAAATCTCTATGTTGACGATTACTAATGTTACGCTCTGGATAGAATGTATTCTGCCCTTCTTCACTGCTAATGGCTTTACGCGAGGCAAAACTGGCGCTGCTTGCAGAATTTTGGAATGACACTGGACGCGGGTTGGGCGTCTTGAGCAAATCTTCACTTTCATGACCGTTCAACAAACGAGGTGTCCTTTTGACTGCGTCTTCTTGTCCTTCCAGTTCCATCAGTGTTGGATCAAAGTGTGACTTCTCTGACTTCCTACATGGGCCATGGTGTTGTGGTTTATAGGGAAGATGTACGTCTTTGTTGTTCTGCCTGCTAGTTATCCCCAACAATGAATTCTGTGCAGATTCCGGCGTGACGTGATTGTTCTCAGAGTTGAGTAGTTCTGGGAGTGAAGACCATTGGGAACTGAATGACATCTGCCCTAGAGCTGAAAACGACCTTCTGCATGGAGATACTCGGGACGGGAATATCTTAGACGGCGAATTCCTTGGCAAGGGGGCGCGCAGTTCGTGCGGCAGTAGGGAAGCTTGTTTCCCTTTCGATCAGTAACATGCGACACATTGTCAACTGAGATTAAGTCTTGTGGAGACAGCAGACTACATTTTGATTTTGGCTGAAAATGCCTGTTTCCTATGGAAAGTAAACCCAGGTTTCGTTGCTTCTCCTCATTTACATCTGGCCCGATAGCTGGCCGGACAGCAGGCAGACGTTGCTTTCTATTTGTTTTTGGCCTGGTTCCTTGTAAGTGAAATATTTTCTCGTCTACGAGGTGCCATTCGTCCTCTTTCGACTCATTAACTCGTTTGCTCTGCTCTCCCATAACAACTGATCAAGCTGTAATGGGCCGCAAAGGACAGAAGCTTTATATAATCAGTCAAGTGAAGCACAAATCTCTTCTTGTCGCCAGCCAATCATGTTGTCAGGAAAAGGCGGCATAGAATGTGTCGCGTCGCAAAAGTACTCCATGAAACGCGATGAGCGGACCTTTGCTTATGAAAGCAGATAAAGTGACTTGAAAGGTTCGGCGCCTTTTGATCTGTCGGTATTTTGATTGATAATTGACCCAAGTATGTGGCGTCCGGACAGAACAAAGCAAAAGCCACGCCTTAATTAGCCTTAATTACTTCCTGGAAGTTACGCAACTTTTGCCATGAGTGAAGATTTCCCGACCACGCCCAGCTTGATCCTAAAAGCTGATTGGCCGTCGGTAATGACTTTGAAATTCGTGTCTTCACTTACCAGTACATCCAGTGAATGTAGGTCTGCAAGGAATAATGTGGGCACTCTGCGTTGAAAATAAAATCATTTTAGCTCGTATTTGATGAGTTGGATCGGTGTTAAATTTGGGAGAAAGTGTGATACTCCCATTCCTGACCTAACAAACCTTACAGTTGGTAAGGATTCTCTTGTTACCGTCACCTCAAAGAAAAAAAAAAGAAGATTTTATTAATGGTAATGGCATCTGAGTTTAATGAATTGTCGTTCAGTGTATTCATCCTTGCGTTTAATTGAACCTAAGCAGTCGGTCTTTTCTCTAAGCTTCAGAAGAATGTATATCATCAACGAGTGCGAACGCAAAAACGCGGTATGGCTGAGGCAGGCCTACTCCATTGCCTTGCCCCATACTTCCTACCTGATTCAGACTACGAGATGAGTCTTATTTATGTACAGTAAACGGCTAGGCCTAGAATAGACCCTTTTCATAAATGGCTGCCAATTATAAATTCTTTTGTAAGTATTAAAATTAGCCTGACTAACCTCGTTTTTGAGTTGATAATTCAAATGAATTTTTACTCCCAAACGAGTTTAGTGAGGCTAATTTAAATGAAAACAAAAGAATTTTACATTGGCAGCCATTTATGAAAAGGGCCTATAGGCGTAACATATACACCCATTTAACAAAGTATATGCATAATTGATCTCATTTGCATTTTACTTATTTAGAAAACACGCTGTAATTAAGGAAATGCACGCAAGAACCTGTACTTCTGTAAATCGGCAGAAACAGCACGAGCTATTGACATAACGATAGCGCGAGTAAAGATCCAGAGAATTTACACTTTGATAATTGAAACTGAAACGAATGACATTCCTTTCTTGGAAAATGTTTTCTGTGTTCCTATCGAGTCCCATAGAAAAACGAGTGAAAGTTTGGCTGGACTCAAGACGGCTGTGAAAACACTCGCCTGTCCGTTCGTGTTCTCATAGCATTTCTCGTTCTCCCGAACGTCCGCTCGTGTTTCTATAGAACTTTATAGAAACACAGAAATTGTTATCTATTTCCTAAATTCAATACCTATCATATATAAAGAAAGATATTCATGCCAAAAATTATGGTAATTTGTTGCCGTTATCTAGCCGGTCCGGAATTGAAAATCCTTGAATTTGATCAAAAAATCGAGCGCCTTCACCAGTAACTTTTTCCTATCCAAATTGAAGCAATTTTAAAAATCAACGTGTTGAAAATTTTTCTATAATAAATAGGAATTACTCATATTGAAAAGAAAGTATGGTATCCTGATATGCCTAAAGATTGAGAGGTTTGGAAGGTCGCTTAAAAATAACCGTAAAGAACCCACATTTCTAATATCTTCCGGGATAAGTATTCAAAAAGACTTCGAATCAACTTCGGAAAAGTTCGTAAGTCTTCGAATTGACTTCGTAAATCGTCATAACAACTCGGGAAATTTTGAGGGGTGCTGCAACTATCTGAGTCTGATGCTAGGGAAACGTAAAAAGAACTATATATGTCAGTAGAAAGAACATATACTTTTTTGTAGCTGCATTATTTTTTTTTTACAAATAATTACAATTTTTGTGAATAGCTTATTCAAGATATAATCTCTCCCCTTCCTGAGGAAATTTTATTGTAAAGCAACTGAGAGTAAACCGACGATATATTATACCACAACCGTTTGATGGCCTAGGTGCAACGACGTTATGTTCAACGCAGTGCACCTTAAAATTTACTTCCAGTCCATTGACGATGTTACGCAAACAGGAAATCTTAGTAATCACCGGCAGCCAATCAGCTCAAATAAATAATCTAGGTCAGAAAATCTGTTTTCATCAGAAAAAAGGTGCGAAACTGCAAGGAATTAATTAACAGAGATTAATTAAGGCGTTACCTTTGCCTTGTTAGGTCAGTTGTTAATTAATTCTTACACCTGTGGATGCCGCATCCTCTTCCGAATAATATCCTATCTAACGATCAATAACGAAAATCAGTGAAAATTGGTGTCTCAAATCGATATTATCGATTTTTCATGAATACGAAAGTGCGATATTGCTGTAATTTGCTGTAATTTTACCGATAAAAACTAAAATGAAGAATAAAACACAAATAGCGGTGATAAACATATTAAACTTACGCATTTTAATCACTTGACGTTTCGTATGCTACGCAAGAACAAAAACTAAAATGAATTTCCACATTCACGTATATGTAAACAAGAAAAATCAGAAATGTAGAAACTCACGTTTAAGTATCACATTAAAACCTTTTATTAGCTTTTATTTTAGCAATAGCATAAACAGTTCTGTTCAACCACATTCAGTTCTTGCAGGTAAATATCGTGGGAAATATAAACTTAGATTGGCAACGTGAACATATCGTAAGCGCGTACCTTGGTATGGTATTTGGGCCATTTTGCCCCGAACAAAAACTTGGTCAGTTACTCAGATAACGTCTGCGAACCCGAGCCAGGAAACGATTTCTGTGAGGTAATGACTTTTGTTTCTCCTTGGCCAATCAGATTCCATGATAGAATGAAACTCGAGCGCTCCTTGCAGCGAATACCTCGCGCAGTAGTTCTGGGGTTATTTGAGCTAAACTGTGATTGGCTTAGAATTCTTACGTCACAGAAATCGTTTTCTGGCTAGGGTTCGCAGACGTTATTTTTCGGCGGAACCAAGTGACAGCCGGAAATACGTCTGCTTTCGCAGGTTAGTTTGTGACCGGGGTTGCACTGTATTCATCACGCAACACCTGCTGCGTGACCTGTTTACCCAGACCCCTTGATGAGTTCCTCCTCACGCATTTGTGGCGTCTTCCGTGGCTTGGCAACTATGGACAACGCTGACTTGGAAAAGCTCTCCATTTCACCTGGAAAGCTAACACCCAAATTCCATCCGAATACTACCGAATACTCAGTAACTCTCGGAAGTGATGTCAAACAGATAAAAATCGATCCGCTTACAAGTGATTCAGGAGCTTCTTACTCCATTTCGGTAAGTAGACTCGTTTCGTATTACTGTAAAAATTCGCGCCAAATTTGTTCTCAGCTTTGATCTACAGACATTTAGCTCTTTATTTTTTGTTTATACAGGGTAGTGGAGGTGGAAAAACAGTTGCTCTGAAAGAGGGAGAAGTTACACCAGTAAAAATCGAAGTAACGGCAGAAGATGGAAGCACAATCAAGAATTATTTCATTCAAGTTACGAGGTTGTCTGCAAGCGATGCTTCTCTCACAGATCTCAAACTTTCTGTCCTTGGCAGCCTCTCTCCAGATTTCGCTTCAAATATCACCAGTTACTCTGCCGTCGTTCCATTTAGTAGCTCTTCCGTTGAGGTAACGCCTAGCGTGGCTGATAAAAAAACTGCAGTAAAAGTTAATGGTGGTGGATCGAAAGATCCCATACCTTTGAACTATGGCGAAACAGTTGTCGAGGTGGAGGTAACTTCTCCAGACTCAAGCAGCAAACGAACTTACGTGTTAATAATCTCTAGATTGAAGCTCTTAAGACCGATAAAGTTTTCAGGTGAAAAAGAACAATCGAAATTTGAATGTCCCGTGTGTCTGGGAGTTCTGTATCGACCAAAATCGATCAAGAACAGTCAGCCGAAACATGTGTTCTGCAAGGGGTGCATCGATGAGCTGACCCGGACCTCAAAACAGGATCCTTTGGACCGTTCCCCGCTACCAGATGTGTGGCGTGTAGATGAATATGACTTGGACAAGGAATTATCTTCCCAGGTGGTGTTCTGCGTTTACAAGCACTGGGGATGTGGGGAGGAATTGAAGCTCTGTGACCTTGGTCCTCATATGAGGCAGTGTGAATTTAGGCCTGTTGTAGTGGAGAAGTCTGAGGAAATTGTCCCAGCCAAGGATCTAGAAGAAAAATCGAAGGTGAGGTGAAACAGAGAGGGAGACATTGCGAAAACGAGACATTTGTCAATGTCTCTTTTCACAGCTGCTGTTATTGCATGGGAGCAGAGTTGTTAAGTGTGAATGTCAGTATCATTTACCCACTTAAAAAACAATCCCCTTCCTCTATCCCCTTCCCCCATGCACAAATGCACCAATCCAGCACGAAGCAATCAAAGCGATTAGGAGTATTTGTACTCCTCCCTAAATGGGATGCTGGTCCATTGCACCTTACAGCATTAAATTCACCAGTTCACATTCATACATCTGGGTGGAGAGAGGCACTGTGAGAGCAAAAAATTGCCCAGGAACACTACACAATGACCCTGGCCACAAACCCACAATGACCCTGTCCTGTAACCCAGAAATGCTGGTGCTAGGGTCCATGGCGCTAACCATTAGGCAGTGATGCCTCCACAGTTCTGTTTCTGACCTGCAATCAGAAATAACCTACCAAATGCTGGAAATTTGAGAATTTCATGTTTAAATTAATTGGGTACTGTCTATAGATCTTATATTGAGGTTACTAGAGACTAGTTGTTGCCAGTCAGCTAGCTAGCACTGTCAGAAATGTAACGGCTTATTAACATTTCACTGTGTGTGTTATACTAAAAGGAGGCTTGTAAAGGATGCCCAGATTGTAATCGGCCAGTCAGAACCTCTGAGCTTGAAGAACACAAGACTTATATGTGTACAAGTAAGCATGCCAATCCAGGTACAAAGCACAAGTCTGAAATCAGAGTTTGGGAGAAGAAACTTCAGCAAGAAACAAATGAAAAATCTGCTGACAAGTTGGTAAAGACAGCTGAGGAGCAAATTCAAGAATGCTTCAAGGTGTTGCCACAGCATGGTAAGTTCTTGGGCTCCCTGGTAAGAGTCATGATTTTTTTAAAAATAAAAACCACATTGAAAGTATCTAAAGTTAGAAGAATTCATGCACGTCTTCACCAGTAAACAACTTAATTTATGATAATTGCAGTTAATTTACTGTTACCAGTTTAAATTTCATTTCCTTTTTGCCAGTCTAACCTCTAGTAAGAAGACCCCCTCAGGGCAAGAAAATGTGTCCCCTTAAGAGAGGTGGTTAAAAATGCAGTGTTTGTATCATAATGTGGTGGGACCATTATTAAGTGTTGGCATACGAGAGGTGTCCCCCTACAGGATGATTTCTGTAAGCAGAGTTCAGTGCCATTGAACTACATTTAGCTTTCTGTGAGTACACTGGAGACAATGTTTTGTTTCGAAAAGGTACAATGTATGACCCAGAGAGCAAAAAATCCACCCAGGTGTATAAATGGGTACCGGCGAACTTAACGCTGGGGGTAGCCCTGCAATGGACTAACATCCCATCCAGGGGGGAGTAGAAATACTCTTAGTTGCTTCATGCTACAGAAACTGGGATAAGCTCCGGATCCGGCCCATATGCAGACTTTTTTTTACCCCTATCATAGGACACAAGGGAGTGTCTGGGCAGTTAACAAAGGGAAGGAGGAAAATCTTGATTAACTTGTATACCTTGGCCTCCAGAAGACAAACATTTTAACATGTATCTGAGTATAGTAAAAACTGAGGGTAATTTCTACAAACTTTAATTTTTCAGGTAATGCAGGCCATTTTGATGGCGAGGTTTCACCACTGAGATACTTGGAGATGGCTGCTGAGTGGTTTGCCACAGCGATCAAGTTGTCGCCCAAAAGGGCTGATCTTCATTTTAAGCTAGGGCAGATGTTGGAGGAACAACACTATGTGGAGGATCTCTATGGGATCAAACCTCCAGTAAGTTGGCTTGTTTTAGCCTGCATTTGATATCATTTTGCCAAAAAATAATTAGATAATCACAAGAGCTTCATTAATGTTTTACGCGGGGGGTAACTGGTTTTGACCGAGCAAAATGTTTTGAACTGAACTTCGTTGTTAGTGAAACTTTCTCCTAGATGGTCAAGCCAGGCAGGAAAAATCATCCTCGTGGCCAGTCAATTTGCCCAGTGCCCGGCCCTAAATGAAACAGCCTGCAATCAGGGAGACTATGCTTCGTGTCTAGATATACTGAGCTTCCAATTACATTGTATAACATATTAGCCAATCAATTCCAAGTCGGAGTGATCACACCCATGAAATCAAATCAGACTGTCTAGTCTGTAAGTGATGAGAAGAATGGGAACCACCAATAACATGAAGAACAGGGGGTTAATTTGTTTGCCTGATTTAACACCAGATTCTCATAACTAGAATGAAGTGATTTTATAGGCTTCGGTGTCAGTAGAGGAGAAGTGAATTAGAGATTGGTTATAGAGCAGGGTTTTCTTCTTCTTTTTTTTTTT